AGATGAATTACCTGGGTGGGCACTGTTAATTGAGATTATCAACACTATCATCCTCTTTACATGATTTTTCTCCCTCTCCTTATGAATACCAGCTTAACTACCCTCATTCACCTCTTCTTTCATCATTCCTGTTGCTCCAGTGTCTTAACATGCTCTGTCTTTATATGTATACATTTCTTCACTCTATCACTGAATCTCAGGTTACCCTCTAAAGTCAGTCACTATTTACATTCCTTCCCAATGTTCATATGCTTCCTTAAAAATAAGAGGCTAAACTGTAATATGAAAAACTGGTGGTGAACAGGCTTAGGGAACTAAAATGTTACAGTATTTTGAAGTTTACCTCATTGAATCAACTTACTATGACTTCTTTATAGCAAGCACAAAGAAAAAAGCAGGACTGCCCAGTGGGTGACAGAGGAGAACTACTACAGAAGGCAACCATCAGATCAGCTAACTACAACATAATCCCGCAACCTTACTCTCTCCCAACTAAAACAGCACATTTACACAACCTCCAGTGATCGATCAATTCCACATACCACTTCTAATGTTCACTTGAGTCACACTTTGTATTTTAATGAAGCTTTCATGTCATATTTATAGGTGTTAAATTATATTTTCATTAATGGAAGAAGTTCATAACAGCTCAAGAATCCATCTGGCAAACATGATTTGAATGCAGCAAAACCTGTCTTTTTGACAGTGCCTCAGATAAAAATCTCAACTTCCTTTAACCTATCTGCCTCTGAAATACAAGCAATGACACTGACCTTATGTTTATTTTCACCAGTTCCTCCCCATTCAGCAAAGCCCACTAACGGTAGATGATGGTATCAGTGACGAGAAAGTGCATCGTTTTCATATGTAAAACCCGTACTTGCCACCAGCACAATTATGACCTCAGTGAGGTACAATAAACAATGGTCACCCTAATGGCAGGTAAATAGCTGGTGGTTTGAGCGATCAATGCTGCTGGTTTGGAAGAGGCAAAGATGTGTAGGAGATTGAGGTAGTGCTGTCAGGAACTGGCAGGGCAGTAGGAGACAACATTCCCGGCAGGAATAAGTAGGCAAATGTACCTGACAAAGGCCACACTGGTGTGTGCCATCCTGCACATGCAAACTGGTACAGAGATGGTCTCATGCTCAGACATACCAGCTTCTGCATTCCAGCTTAAGAAAGCTTTCACTACGGTATCTGATATTAATCTGGCTTTTAGCAAGATGTTGAAATTCTCAGGGAAAGACAGAAGTTAGATCTAACGTCATGGGATATGATTAATGATTCAGATACAGTTCTCACACGTGTGACTTAATGGTAAGAACTGTGCAAACAGAATGAATGCTGCTATTTTGACAGCACTCTCTGAAGACTACTGATGTACCAAAAGTTGTTACAATTTCAGTTAGTAGCAGTACCAGAATGCAACAGTCCCGCTAGATATATATACCTTCTACATATACTACACATATAGATTATTCTATATACATATACATGATACAAGCAGCCAAATGAAATAGCATATGGGCATGCTGGAGCTGTACTTTAGAAAACCAGCAAATGGAAAGTAGCCCCTGTTGGCGTTCCATAATTTTGGTTGCCCTGGTTCAGAAGCCATGCTGGCATTTAAGGCAACATCTGACAGAAGGAATGCTCTCACTTGACAACTGAGTTAAATACGCTGTTGTACTTTCATGAAAAGCTTTCACTGCGCACTTGTGTGTACGTAATACAGAAATTAAGTTCTTGGTCCACCCAGCTGCCAAACCACACAACAGATGAATCAGACACAAAACCTGTCCATTCCAATGTACCATCGCTATTCATGTTTCAAGTTCTTGGCCTGTCAATGGCACAGCTTAATGTCAGTGCTGCCCGACTTCTTGTATCAGCTCACCTGACCTAGAAGCTGCCAAAAAGTCCTTGGACCAGCTCAAGTATGGAAAGTAAACAAGACGTGAGAAATAAAACGAAATAAAGTGGCATACTACACGAAAGAGTGTGAAAGAGTGTGAAAAAACCCCCCAGTAATCCTGGTGATGATGAAAGGTCACAAGCTCTTAAGTGACAGCACAGTGACCTCAAAACCAGTTTGTTTCTTCTTTGCACAGGAAGAATGTTTTATATTTTAACAAAGATCAAAATCAAACACTGTCCTCTCTCTACTGCCTTGGTCTATAGTACTACATTTGGGTCATTTCTGGAAGAGATGCCAACCTGAGTGAGTCTCAGTGGTTGATTTTATAAAACAAGCAAACCTTCCCTCCATCCCGAATCAAACCTTAATTTTATTGTCAGAAAGGCAGCTTGAAAGGGATGTTAGGAAAATAAAAAAAAGTTGTATTTGATTCAATTAATATGTAGAAAATCCAGTCCTGCCCTTCTTCCCACCTTAGACATCCTGTTTCATATGTCCATACCAGAAAAGTGATGCTTAAGTAAATGGGAAAGCTTTCTGCACCTTAGAGGCAACAATATTTTTCCACTCAAAAGAATAAATTATTTGCCTAATGCTCCTCATTTTATCAGATATACCTCAGCTTCCCCTTTTGTGATCCTTTTGGATCACAAAATGAATACTAGAGAATAGGTGACAGACTTATCAACACATTGCAAGATATCCTATGCAAGCTTGACAGAAAAAGCCAAAGAAATTGAGAAAAATATGGAACTTTTCTACCAGGAAAGACTACAGCCACTGACCTGGAGAAAAAAAAAAAAAAAGAAAAAAGAAAAAAGAGGAAAATCCAGTTTACCTGGAGAAGCTGCTGAAGAAGCGGCTAAAAAATGAAAATAGAGCACTGCTTTTAATCTGTTTTCATAAGCTCCTTTCCCACAATACATTCAGACTTGTAAGATCCTTCCAACTATGAAAAACCATTCCTACCTAGCTACTTGACACTATTTAAGAGAGCAACATCATTTTTTACTCTTTCCACCAATAACGCTGCTGCAATAGAGAAAGCCCTTTGTTTTCCCTCAGTTTCTACCATTTTAGGTTTGCTTTCCTACTAATTAACTTAAGTGCATTTGCCTCTACCATTTCTGGCATGCAGCAACACAACACTGGCATGATTCTTGACATTTCAACTGCTTCTCACAGACCTGCATTAAAATCAATGAGTTTTGTCAACTTCATCTATTCTCTAATTAACAAAGGTACATAGAACAGCACGGGCAGCAATGCCTTCTGTTTGTGTACTCAGGAAGATGACTTTGCATCAATTTACACATTGCTTTAAACCAGGAGTTTATCTTTACAGCCGTATCATGACTACGAACTTAACTCCCATAGCACCATTTTAGTGTCCTTCAGGGCTTAATAACTAAAGTTACGCAACTCAACACTGTAAAATTTCCATTTATCCAACAAGGATGAGCCTTGACTATAAAAATCTGATAAAGTTGCACAAAAATGTAGGTTGCATGCTTAAAAGTTTCCTCTATGATAGAAAGGAAAGCCTTTATGCTTAAATTTGGACAGAAGAGCCTGAGAACCAGGATACAACCTCAGGTTCACAGTCTCATTGTAGATGTGTTTAACTTATACTCCCCCCGTTGTTAACTTCATTAATTGAAAGTTTGCATTCCTTCTATTCATTTGTGTTTGCAGAAAAACACTTAAATCATCGGCAATTACTTGACAGTTTGAAGATATTTTGAGATACTTGGCTTTCACATCACAAAGCTTTATTCCTTCAGACAGCATTTAAAAACAAAGCAATTCCTTGTTCTCCATCGACTATTCTGAGCCATGATTTGTGAATGGATTACATTTGGGGGGGGGAAGAAACGAGGGGGGAAAAGCTAGCTAGAAAAGAGGAAGTTGTGCTTTTGAAACTATGAAAGTGGAGTCCGTGCTTTGCAGAGAAGTACAGCAACAAATTTCAGTAACAATTTCAGATTAATCTTAACCCAGAATATCTACCGTGCATTGCAAAACGAAGCATCTCCTTCCTTCGTGCAATTAACACCCAAGACATAAAATTTTAAATTAAAACCTGAGAATTCATTATTCTAAAGTCATTTGGCGCTTATCCTACTTAAAGTTCTAAAAACCCCACGGATTCCCAGGATGAAGTAGCCACTAGTATAAAAATTCATTGTCACGTTTTTGCACTAAAAAAAAAACCAAACCTGCCCCACAAGTCTCGTCATCTTTCACTTCGCCTTGCTGCAAGGAACGAGCGCAGCATTTCTTGATCTCATACATAAAATGGTTTCAGTCCCCTCCAACAGGGAAAAAGAACAGACGGCTTCTACAGGAGGGAAAGCAATCTTTGGAAAAACTAAGATGTGTAGGAAAGAGCAAAAGTCCTTGGGCTCAGAAACGCAGCTTCGAAACACCTGGCAGTAAATCAATGTCACCCATTTCGCTCTAATCCCTCAAGTCACTTTTATGAAGATTACTTCCTGCAGTGCATTCCTCACCCTCCTCCCTCCCCGGCCGACAAGGACTGTAGGAAAGATCACTCCGGGAAGCCGCACAGCACATCTGGGACCGGCGCCGCGACAGCAGGACCACGACCGGGACGCGGGTCACGTCTGGCACAACTGCTTCGCCACCAACCCCCGATTCCCGCCCGGCTCCCAATTCCCTGACAGCGCCACAACTTTCCCCGCGCCCCTCGGAGAGTCCTGCCGCAACTCCAAGGGATCCGGGGGAACTGCCGCCTCCCCGTTCCCGCGGTCTCCGCCGCCGGGGACACCCAAGCGCCCAGCACCGCTTCCCTTCTCCCGCCCCGCGGCGCCGACCCCTCACACTCCCTCCGACCTGCCACAGCGTGTCCCGTCCGCAGCGCCTTCCTTCCGTCCCCCCTCCCCGGCTCCCAGCGCGGCCGTGGCTCTCGGCTCCCTCCGCAGGGCGCAACTTGGCGGAGCGTGGGGCGGGGGGGGCCACGGCGGGGGGAAGGTGCGGGTGTCCCCCCGCCCCGCTCATGGCGCGCTGCTTTCCCGCCGCCCCGTCCTGCCCGGCGGCGGCGGCGGTGGGGACTCACCAGGGGTCGAACTCGTGGATGATGCTCTCGAAGCGGATGACGGCGAAGAGCCGGGAGCTGAACCCGGCCAGCCAGGCCAGGAAGAGGATGGTGAAGGAGAGCAGCGACTGCCAGCCCGCCGGCTGCGACAGGCCCCCCGACAGGCCGCCGGCGGCCCCGGCGCGGCTGTGGAGCGGCGCCGCGGAGTTGGCGGCGGGTCTGTGCTTGTGGTCGGGGGCCGAGTGCTCCGCCATGTTGTACCCGGGGCTCCCTCGCAGCCTCTCCCTCCGCCCGGCGCGTGCGGGGAGGAGGCGGAGGAGGGGAGGGGAGAGAGGGAGGAAGGGCAGGGGGAGGGAGGCTCGGCGAGAGGCGGAGCCCGCCCGTTCCCTCTCGGGGCTCCTCACGGACTGCCCGCCGCCTCCTGGCGCACCCGGGCTCTGCCTCCTACCGCCGTCACCGTCCCCATCCCCCGCCGCGGGCGGGAACACGGCGCGGCGCGGGCGAGCCCGGGGGGCGGGGCCTGGGGGCGAAGGGGCGGGGCTGAAGGCGACGGGCGCGCGCGCGGCTCCCAGGAGCAGAGCGACGGGGCGGGGGGGGGGCTCTGCAGGGGAGGGGCCGCGGACGGGACCCGAGCGGATCGGGGCCTCCCTTCCTCCCTCCCGAGCGGGAGGTTTGACATTGCCGCCCCACCGGAGCGGGAGGAGTTACAGGGGGAGGGCGGGGCTCCCATGAGAAGGCGAGGGGAAGGGCCAGTCCCCGCCGGTAGCGCCCCTCTAACAGGAACTCCGGGGACGGCCTGTCACGGAGCGACAGGTATATAAGAGGGGCGGGGCCGGCCCCGAGCAGCCAATCGGAGCCGCGCGGCAGCACGCGCGGGGGGACGTTGTGCCCGTTGCTAGACGTTGGCGGGAGTGACTGACAGCTGTTTACGCCAATCGGAGCGCGACGTGCGAGTCACGTGGGCGCCCTCAGACGCCCCCCGGCGCCGTGCCAGGGCGCTGCGGTGCTGGTGGGCCGGCGGGGCGGTGTCGTTCCCGTTCCCGTTCCCGGCATGTTCCGCGCCGCCCCAGAGCACGTCGGGAGCTGGAGTCCGCGGGGCGGGGGCGTGGCGAGCCCACGGGCGCGCGGGCGGTAGCTCCGCTTCTCGGGAATGTTTGATTGTCTCGGTGGAAACCGCGTTGGCCGCGCCAAGGAACGTAGGAGAGCTTCTCCCTCGGGCAGTTGGGCGGAGTACCTAGGGGCACGGTCAGGGAGAGTCCTGGGTGCGCCACTTGCTTCTGCTGGGAGCGCTTTCGCAGAGTCAATCAGCGAATCAATTAGGTTGGAAAAGACCTCTGAGATCATCGAGTCCAACCTATGACCCAGCACCACGTTGTCAGCTAGACCGTGGTGCCGCGTCCAGTCTTTAACAACTGCAGGGACAGTGACTCCACTGCCTTGGTCAGGCACGGAGACCAGCACATGGAAACCTTGGCTTTTGTGCAGGGGGACAATTTTTTTTTTTTCCCATTTACTTCTCTTTTAGGAGTTTTCACATTGAGATGCTATTTGGAAGCCTTGTAGCTTCCTCAAATATTTTGTGAAACCTGTAGTTACAAGAAGAAAGTGGAGAAAACTGAAGGCTACAGAGGTTGCACAGTCAATGCTGTTTGAGTGGTCAGGCTGACCTTTGTTCTACCCTGAGATGGCAGGGGACAGCCTGCTTTTAGAAAAAGTATGATACCAAGCACAGGCAGAATAAAAAAAAGTGCATGGCTGTTGGTGCTGTTTACACCCACAGCTCATTTTGTGGCTTTTATGTAGGGCTGCATTTTTGAAATTAATTAGCTTGGGTTTTGTTGTCTGAGGTCTGGGCATTCCCTTGGGTACACAACTGTGGCTCTTCAGAGGTCCTGAAGACATGCAGTTCAATTTCTCTTGTATGGATTGGGACTACACTGGGCCTTAGTTGGCTAATATATTTCTAGTTAGTCCTTGCTGTTGTCCCTGGTTTTATTTTGTTTGCCAAAGGAAGAAAACAGTATGTTTCTTTGTAAGCAAAGTGGAAACCTTTCTATTAGACAACTAGAATGGTTTGTGTTGGAAGGTACCTTAAAGATGTAATTCCAACCCTCCTGCCATGGGCAGGGATCCTTCCACCAGACCAGGTTGCTCCAAGCCCCATCCAACCTGACCTTGAATGCTTTCAGGGATGGGGCATCCACAACTTCCCTGAGCAACCTGTTCCAGCCTCACCACCCTCACAGCAAAGAATATCCTCCTAACAGCCAACGTAACCCTACCTTCTGTAGTTTGAAGCTGTTACTCCTTGTCCTGTCACTCACACCCATGTAAAAAGTCCCTCTCCAGCTTTTCTGTAGGCCTCCTTTAGGTACAGGAAGGTGCTGTAAGGTCTCCCTGGAGCCTTTTCTTCTCCGGGCTGAACAACCCTGACTCTCAGCCTGTCTCCATAGGAGAGATGCTCCAGCCCTCCAATCATTTTCATGGCCCTCCTCTGGACTCTCTCCTACACATCAATGTCCTTCCTGTGCTGGGGCCCCCAGAGTTGGATGCAGCACTCCATTAAAGTTATTGCTTTAGTGGAAAGCTTTAACAATCTGTAGAGAATGCAACTATTTTTCCTCAATCCCTGCATTAGTCAACAGCTGTGACTTGGTCACTGTATTTGAAAGCAGAGCTACTGTATTGTAGGGTGTGTGTATGTGTTTTAGTATGAACACTTTGATGCACTGTTGCTCCTAAAGGACTCCATTTCACATACTCTTTTAGCATAAGGCTTAGGAAATCTTGCAGCAGATTTTGAGATTCAGTTTTGCTGAATCTGGCTCTTAAAAGGCTAAATTTTTATTTGGTGGGTGTTTGTTTGTGTTGGTTGTGGTTTGTTTGTTTGTTGTTGTTGCTTTTAATACCATGTTCTTTCTTATTCTTTTTTAAGTAGGCCAGTAATATATTTGAGATAGACCAAGTCAGACATTTGCCCCTTTTCTAGTATTGTCAGTGAAGCTTTTTTTAATGAGCTGACCAACTGACATTTCAAGTGAAGGATTTTTCTTTAATTGGCTCATGAACACAGAGAAACGTGACCAGAAATTTGCAGCTATCAAGTGTTTTCTAAGAGGTACTGGCTGATTTTACAGCAGGGTCAGTCTTGGTCTACTTTTCTGAGTTTCCATTCTCCCACTTGGGATCTTGTTTTTGGTAACAGCGTTCAAGCTTAATGATGCAGCACAGGAGCTGCTTTAAATGGCAGTGTGGTACATAGAATACCTTGTGTTTTCCTCTCTCCCCAGTCATTTTTCTACATGTTAAGGAACCAAAAAGGACTGATGATTCATATTAGCTGGGAAAAAAATGTGTATATCAGAGTTTCTTTTTATGTAAAATTTACTACCAGTGTTAACTTTCCTTGATTGGAAATCTGATTTATATAAAAGTTATTGCGTGTCATGGTGTGGATGAGGTTATATGGTGTTTACTTTAAATTTCTGTGCTATAACTTTTACTTGCAACAGGGAGGTTATATCATTCTGACTATATTGTCAGAGTTAGATCAGACAATTTTTTGAGCATAGACAAGCCTAGACAATGTGATTTATTTGAACACTGACTAATGGTAAAGTGTTTCTTTGTCATTGGTAACAAATTATATTGTTGCCTATTCATTTTCAAACCATTCAAAAGTCTGTCCTGTTGAATATCTTAGAGCTTGGGCAATGAAATTTAGTGGCAGCAAAAGCACAGTTCTAATAAAAGCTTTTATTAATGTTTCTGTAAATATATTGTTTGAATTTTTGTATGAAATAAGGTTTAATAGTCTTACTTTAAAATCAGTCAAACAAATGCACACAAATGGAAGAAAATGAGAGACTCCTATTGTTAGATGGAAGGATTTGGTGACTTTAATACAATACTGCCATGACAGTAAGGGAAGGTACATTTCTGTAGAGGAGATGCAAAATGTGCCTACTGGAAACTGTGTTCAACCCATACTAATAACTTGACAGGGAAAGATGTTTTCCACCTATTTTATTTTATTTATTTTATTTTATTTTAATATTTATTTTCCCCTCCCCCCCATCATATCGTCTTGTGTTCTTTGATTTGTTTCAAGGTAATTTGTTTTGATTTGTTCCACTGTGTGTGGTGGTGCATTCTTTGAACACAAAACCCCACAAAAATGTCCATGTTAGTGACTGTGGAGTTGACTTTGCATAGTGATTACACATAGTGATTATGATCACAGAAAATCAGTTTCCTATTCTGAACATGTAAAATAAGAGCCAAATACCTTAAGAAAAAAAAATCTTTCATTTCCAAGCTTCCTTAATAATGGAATTATACAGAGGAAAATGCCAAGTGCAGAATTCATGTTATGATTGTACAAACTAGAACATCTTGAAAGTTGTGGAGCTGCATATAGGAAAATGTCAGATGAAAGCTCCTCATTCCTCAACACAGCTACCATGTGTCACTGATGTTCAGTCTTCTACTGAAATAATGGCAGACAAAATTGGTGCAGAAAAATTTGCTTGTGGACACATCCAGGTAATAAATCACGAATCAGAAGTAGAAAGTCATGGTTGTTGGGAACAATTCATGCTTTTCACCAAAAATCATTAGAATCAATTATCAGTGTTTATTAACGGGAGTAGGCACCTTGGTTTAGAAAGCCATTTGAAGGGCAGTTCAGGTTTGAGGTGAATAAACAAGTCTCTTTAAAAAATCTTTCCAACTTTGTGGTCCTGCAGCTGAACAAGTTATAAAGCTTGGTGTTAAGATTTTTTTGAGGATGGTTTTAGAAATTAATAATAAAATACTTCCTGAACTGAAGAATATTAGAGTAGCACAGTCTGGCATAACTTGATGTGGTAGAGGATGCTTGATTTCAGCTATCAGTGCTCAGATGATCCTTGTTTAAAAATGTGTGACGGTGTTTAAATGAGAGAAAACATAATACTATTGCCCATAATTATCTTTGGGAATCTGAGGTTTAATACATTTAAAAATTCACTATCTATTGGTCTCCGTATAGACAAAATGACATGAGTTTAAAATAATTTTTAAATTGGTTTAATTCAGCAGCTGCAACCCTTTGTGGATGTGTTTAAATCACTTAAGCTTGTTGTAAATTGATAAAAGATTGTCTACAAAGAGCTTTGCACCTGAGTAACTACAGTGAGGTTTGTAATTGATTTGAATAGAAATGGCACAACTCGAGTGTTGAGACAAGGCCTTCATCTAGCATTTAATTCAATAACAGTGGAGCAAAAACCTCACAGTGTTCTACTGGTAATTTCTCCTCTTTCTTTCCACTAGTTTAAACATATGTTGATGTTGCTTCTCTGCTTCTCCTGTCTTAATTATCCTGCTTAATTTCCTTTCCCATGACCTGTACAGTAGTAAAAATCCCTCCAGTTTACATGCACGGGCCTGACAGGAATCACAATGCTTTTTGCTCTCCCTGGCCAACCCCTGGCATGTTCTTTTGCCACCATTACCTTTTGCATCAGCCTGTCTCTACTTATGAAGAAATGGG